CGTGAATTTTACCAAAAAAAAAAACACATAAATATATATATATATATATATATATATATATAATCTTTGCATAAAAATACTTTTATGCTTTTAATGAACTTTGTCTATTTTTTATTCTTAAAAATTATAATAATGATATCAAAATTCAAATTTATGATTTATTGCATATTATTCCAACTTTCACTCCAAATCTCCAACCCAAGTGGTTCCAACTTTGTCTATTTGATTTGTCTGTGTAAATGAAAATTACTATTTTACAGAGTTAAAAGATTATAATACATAACTTATATGACAAAATATTTGTAATAATTAAATAATAGTAATTCAAACATAAATTTTATATGAGAATATTTGTTTAGTTTTAAAAATATTTTCCAAAAGAATTTAAAAAATTAAATTCCAATAAATTTTTTGACATAATTAATTTTAGTCGGTTTTTGATTGCTTTATTGGTCTTTTGTTTTATTAAATATTTGGGTTGTTCAAATGACTAGATTATTTCTCCGTTCAATTGGTAAATATATTAATGAGTTGACTGATTCTTCATTATTCAATTGGCAAATAAGTGTGTTTGATGTAGACAACAAATACGACACACACTGTTTATTCAATAAAATAAAGTAAATGTCATAAAAAATAACTGGCTAGGGTGGAGGATGAAAATATATATAATTTAAATAAGAAAAAAATGATTAGTGATTCATAACTTTGGCCAAAAGATCATGTTGACACCTCTGGTCTAGTTTTCCGTTCACACTAACTGTGACTAAATACAATTATCCGAAATTATCGATGGATGCATTGTCATATATATGTAACAAATAGAGTTTTAGAAATTTTATTTAGAAAAGAATATGCGAAATTTTAGAGTAAGAAAGCATCCACGAAGCAAGATATATAAAATTTATTTTTAATTGTAACTAAATCTTTCATTTTATCATAGTATAATTAAAGGATTATTTTAGTTTACTAAAATGAAAATTTTATTCTTTTCTTAAAAATCCTCTTAAATAAAAATAGAGAACGAAATAACTATAAAAAATTTAGATTAATATAAAACTGTTTTTCTAGAGAATCATCTAAAAATAAGGTGTTTAAAAAACTTATTTATATAAAATAAAAGGTAACATATATGTGTTATATGGTCAATTTTTTTGCATCTCTAAATTTATTCCCATATTAGCTGAATGAAGCAATTTGCATGCGGACAAAGTGTTAATTTAAAGCAACAGAAGTAACGTGTAATAAGTGGTATAAGGTGTTATGGAAGAAAAATAAAGAGAAGTGAAAGGTGTTAATCTTTGCACTTTTGAAGTCTCCAAAAATATTACTCTAAAACCTTTTTTTTCCTGAGAACATCCATGTTTATATTGTTCTGACATGAGTCACATGATCTTTTGCTTATATTTTGTAACCAGGGTTTGAGCGAGGAGGAGCAAGACGCATTGCTTGGACAAGTTGAAATATGGAGGTACATGACATGCTTCACAGACTCTGTGGCCTTAAAAGCTGTCATAGAGCTGCGCATAGCTGACATAATAGACCGCTATGGTAAACCACTATCATTGTCTCAAATTGTGGAGAACATCGAAGATGCACCCTCCCCGGATGCCTCTTTGTTGCTAAGAGTGTTGAGAGTGATGGTGCGAAGAAAGATCTTCAGTGCAGAACAATCAGAAACTGGAGAAACCCTCTATGGCTTGACACGTGCTTCCAAATGGATCCTACGTGACACAAAGATGACCTTGGCACCCATGTTGCTGCTAGAGAACCACCCCATTCACCTCAACCCTACCCACTACATCAGTGAGATCATCAGAGAAGGGACCAAAAATGGCACTGCCTTCTTCAGGTTGGTGGGTTATTTTGTAGTTGTTGTTATGATATATTTTTATCAAGGAGCTTGATATCTTAAGTTGTATATCATAAATTCGATTATATATCTATATTATATGATATTATTTACTTTGAGTTTAAACTCTCAAAGATTTTATTTTTGATCAGCACTTATTATTTTTTTATAATTTTTTAATGATACAAGACTTTATTTGTATTGTACACAGGTTTCATGGTCATGAGCAATTTGATATGACGGGTTTGGATCCAGAATACAACAAGTTGTTCAATGAGGGCATGGTGTGCACGGCTAGGGTTGTGTCCAAGGCTGTCATCAGTGGCTACAAAGATGGGTTCAACAAGATTAAGTCCTTGGTTGATGTGGGAGGAGGCATTGGAGGCTCTCTCTCCGAGATTGTTAGGGCTTACCCTCACATCAATGCCATCAACTTTGACTTGCCTCATGTGGTTGCCACTGCTCCCAAGTATGATGGAATCACCCATGTTGGTGGAGACATGTTTGTGTCCATTCCCAGTGCTGATGCTATTTACATGAAGGTATGTATCAAAAACCCAATACCTAAAAAACTATACGTAAGTTTAATTTCTCCTTTTTCAAATGCATGCAAATGGGTTAAAAATATGGGAATGTAGAGTATTTTGGTGACTTACGTAGGCTTCAAATTAAAATTGTTTTGGTGAATTAATGATCCAGTGGATCCTGCATGACTGGAGCGACGAGCACTGCGTGAAGATATTGAAAAACTGCAGGAAGGCAATACCAGAGAAGACCGGAAAAGTGATCATTGTGGATCACGTGCTGCGACCTGAAGGGAACGAACTCTTCACCGACGTTGGCATTGCATTTGACATGATGCTTCTCGCTCACAACGCTGGTGGCAAAGAGAGGACCGAGGAGAATTGGAAGTGGCTATTCAAGGAAACAGGATTCGCACGTTACAACATCATCAAGATCAACGCTCTCCCATCCATCATTGAGGCTTTTCCAATTTAATCTGATCAAACCACTGCATGTGGTTCATGTTGTGTTATAATTATTGCTCTTGTTATTATTAACAGCAATATGTTCTTTGTGTTTTGTGGCTTTTCTAGCCACTCTCTAGTCTCTACTCTCTAGGCAACCCCTTTGGTGTCTTACTTTAAATAAAATGCCCACCATCACCTACGGTTCATGGGCTGTATAAGTTCCATCAAGTGAGTGGTGTGTCACGTGTGGTTGTGAAGAATCTATTGCTGTTAATGAATTACATCATTAGTGTGCATGTGCAACTTCCTTGTCTCTCCTTTCTCCAGTTCAGAAAACTTCCATCGAGGTTTTCGTCATTTTATCTGTTAATTTATTGAATAAAGTATGTAATGAGGAAAAATTGATATCTAAGTGGTCATGATTTAAGTTGATGAATGTAGAATATGTTACCTGTATCTGTATGTGATCACCAACCACAACCAAACTTGTTGAATAACGAGGCTTTGATTTGCTGAGAGGGTGGCTCAAAACGAAGCATATGAAACTGCGAATTAGTTGTGTAAAAAAAAAAGTGAGGTAATTTTATTATATGAGACATATAAAGGGTATGCACTTCGTCACTTATTTATAGGTCACTTCGTCATGCATATAGAGGCCTATTATGTTCTAGTGTTTTCTGTACTTTTACGGGTAGTGCCATATATCTACAAATATTTACCTAAGTTTTATCGAGAATTTTCTGTTATAGCTGTTATTTGATAACCTTTTTTTATAGAATTATGTAGATGTGTAATCTTGTACGTGTATATATTCTAACAATTTTTGTAGCATTTTTTCGCAACATTTATTTTCTATCTTTTTCTACATTACATTTATACTTTATCTATCTTGTAGAAAAACAGAGTGATCACTCTGTTATTATAAAAATAATTCAGAATTTATGCATTGGCCATTTTCAACCTATTTCAACAAGGTCTTCAAGAAAATTTATAAAAGCAACTTTTAGTATATATAAAAAAGTTTAATCTTATTTTCTCTTTGATTATAGAAACAACACACATATCTTCTTTCAATAAACATTTTCACAATCACTTATAAGAGAAGAGAAGAAAATTAAAATACAAAATGAATTGAATTTCTCTTATAACTTAAAATCAATTATGCACTTAACTTTTATAGAAGTCTTTTCATCTAACTTCTTAAAAGTTAAAGTGCACTGGTTAATTTTAAAAGAATTATGAAAGTAACTAATGATATATTCATAACTAACTTATTTCAATAAATTTTTTAGGATAACTTATGATGAAAATAGTTTTTCTAAAAGTAATTTAGTCCTATTTGCACTTCAATTATAAAATAAAATTATATTATTAAATATTTATTCATTAATACCTAAATTAAGCTATTTAATTAAGAGTACCCCAAATCTTGAACTACACAGTTATTAATGTCAAAGAGATTGGTCCTACACCTAAGTCGTGTGGATTGGGCTTTCGGCTGCAGTCTCACAAGTCCACATACTAATTGTTATGTTAAAATAATAGCCATGTCATTTAAAAATACCACGTTGATTTATTTATTAATCTTCACTATTTAATTAAAATCTAATAATCAATAAGAATGGATTTGATATACACAACTATATACGGATCCTATTGATGAAAAGGAAAATATTTCCTTAAACGTCAAAATAGGGCAACAAAAAGTTATTTTCTTTAATTTTGAGGTAATTTTTTTAGATTATGTATAAAAAATATAATTAATTGTAATTATATACTACATTACATACAGTATTAATATTTTAATAATAAAATTCGTTATGAAAACTTAACTATGTCTACCAATTCTTGAGCTAAGTGGAGGTGGACAGTCTATAAATGTCAAAGTGGATTGGGCTGGTCTTCTCGTAATCCATGTGGATTGGGCTTTTCAGGTACACTCTTACAAGTCCACATATTATCTGTTCTGTTAAAATAACAAGGCTCAATTCCTGTCGACAAAAATTGCACGGGCAATTGTTCTCTAAAATTAGAGATGGCAAAGTGGGCCATGGCCCGCGGGCCGGCCCGTTGGCCCGCCAACAATTGGTGGGCTGGGCCAAGCATTTCAACCTGCCAACCCGCTAAGCCCGTCCCGCCAAGCCCGCTAACCCGCCGGACCAA